TAGCAAAATAAAGTAGGTGCCTACAAATATGACTTTCCCATGCAGAAGGAAGACGGACAATGGATAAGGAAGGCAGAAGAAGAATTGATGCCTTTAAATTGTGGTGTTGGCAAAGAATATTGAATACACCATGGACTGCCAGAAGAAAGAACAAATCTGTCTTGGAAGAAGTACAGCCCGAATGTTTCTTAGAAGTAAAGATGGCTAGATTTTGTCTTACATACTTTGAATATGTAATCAGAAGGGACCAGTCCCTGAAGAAGGACATCATGGTTGGTAAAGTAGAGGGTCAGCAAAAAAGTGGAAGACCCTCAATGAGATAGATAGACACAATAGCCATAACAATGGTATCAAACATACCAATGATCACGGTGATGGTGTAGGACAGGCAACGTTTCATTCTGTTGTTTATAAGGTTGCCATGAGTTGAAGCCGACTTGATGGCAACTAACTGCAACCACATTCTCTCCTCTCCTCCCCTCCCCCTCCCCTCCCCTCCCATTTCCATCCCTTCCTTTCCATTCCATTATACTATAAGAAATAAGCTTTTAACAAAATCCAACACCCCTTTATGATTAAAAACACTTTAACTTTGGTCAGGGTAGTTGTATTTCTAAGCATTTTATTTGTCCCAAAGTCCCTTGAACATTGCATCACTTTAGAGTATATCTGGCTTCAAGTAACACACACACACATACACACAAATACACTCACACACAGTCACACACAACACACACACATGCACGCACACAAATACACTCACATCACAGATGTCCAGCGGGTTTGGCTGCTTGGAGATGTCCGGGTAGGCATCTCTACAATTCATTTTCTTGTTTCCACATGGTCAAAGGCAGGTGGGCCAACTCCAGCAAGGATGTGTGAGGGTAAAGAAGGAGAGAGGAAACAGGGAAGCCCCAAGGGTCTCTCTCCCTTTAACCAGAGAAGGAAGGTTTTCCAAGAGTCGCCCAGCCCCACCCCAGCATCCTTCCACTTTTGTCTCCATTTCCTGCAACTGTGTCCCTCCGCTGGAGGATACGAACATGGGCACTGAGCTTCTACAGCCTGAAATGGAGCAATGGCCACGCAGAAGGTATTGGACAAGAGCCAGAAAATGACAGTGTCTGCCGTGAGCACAGATGTGACAGCCAAGAAAATTGAAATTGCCCGCGTTGTCTCTTCCTATTCAAGGTCATCTTTTCCTGTTTCTCTCTATAAAAGCATAGTTTTCCATTTTCCCTGAAGTCACAAATATTTCCTGATAAACACCATTTGACTACTAGCCAAAAGATTGGCAATTCAAACCTATCAAGCGATGCCTCAAAAGAAAGACCTGGCAATCTGCTTCTGAAAGACCACATCCTTGAAAACCCTATGGAGCACAGTTCTGCTCTGTTACACATGGTATTATGGATTGGATTACGTCCCCCAAAAATATGTGTTGTAAATCCTAAAATCCTAACCTCTCTGCTTGTAGTTATAATCCCATTTGGGAATGGCTTGTCTTTGTTATGTTGATAAGGCAGGGAGCCCTGGTGGCGCAGTGGTTAAGAGCTCGGCTGTTAACCAAAAAAATCAGTAGGTCGAATCCACCAGCTACTTCTTGGAAACCCTATGGGGCAATTCTATTCTGTCCTATCATGTCGCTATGAGTCGGAATCAACTTGATGGCAACGGGTTTGATTTTTTCTTTTGTCTCTGTTATGTTGATAAGGCAGGATTAGTGTAGGGAGTATCTTGAGTCAATCTCTTTTGAGATATAAAAGACATTAAACAAGTGAGCAGAGCAGAGACGGAGGAAGAGAGATGCCAAGCCACATGAAGATGGTTCGGGTACAGAAGCTGAAAAGAGCCAGGACGTTCCCCCGGAGCTGAGAGGGAGAGAAAGTCTTCCTCTAGAGCCGGCACTCTGAATTTGGACTTCTAGCCTCCTAAACTGTGAGAATATTAATTTCTGTTTTCCCCCAGAGCTGAGAGGGAGAGAAAGCCTTCCCCTAGAGCCGGCGCCCTGAATTCAGACTTCCAGCCTCCTGAACTGTGAGAATGTTAATTTCTGCTTGTTAAAGCCACCTACTTGTGTTATTTCTGATGTAGCAGCACTAGATGACTAAGACACATGGGGTCGCCATGAGTCAGAGACGACTCAATGGCAACTAGAAACAGCATAAGTACTATATCTTGTATTCGTATCATGAGTAGTATTTTGTTTTTATTATGTGTCTAAACAATTTTCACCATGATTATGATTTGTGTATATACATTTTTTTCCTTTCATCCAAATCATTGGCTCAAATTAAAAAATGAACTTTTGAATGATTATTTGATTTTTCAGGAATACTCATTTTTTATTGCTCAAAATGCTTAGAGTCTACTGCTGATAGAAAGACGGCAATTAGAGATGAATATGACGTAGTTTTAAATTTGGATACATTGGAGGCCAATTTTATTGAATTAATACACCAATCATGAGCTTCATTGGGATGCATTAAATGACAAATAAATTCCCAGAAATATAGATAAAAGAACTCTGAGAAAAACACAGGGGCCATTATACATATGCAACAGTATTTGCAAGCATCCTCCTTGCATTCCAGAAACTTAAAAAAAAAATCCATCAAATACATATATAATAATGTCTCTGTATATTCATGTATGATTGTATTCATATCCATATGCACAGCTCCAGGACTTATTTTAGTGTTTGTATTAGGTAATGCTTAATTTGATTTATTTTTTTGAAAGATGACAGAGCAGTAATTAAACTCATAAGATTCGCCAGTGGCCTCTTTAAACACCAACAATTACAGACATAATTAAATGTAATGAATTGGGTACCACAATTAAGAACCCCCATGGTGAGCTCTGCGAGAATGTAGCCCCTTATCTTGAATGCATGTTTGTTGTCTACATGTGTGTCTTTTGAAAAGTCATTTCCAAATCTCCACAGACAAAAACCAGTACCATGTTTTCATTTTACCTTTACATTGCACCAGCTATCTTTTCCCCCTATTTCTGGTTTCTAGTAACTTCTTATCCTTCACTTGTCATGAAATTAAGGAGGTTTAATTAATATAGTAATTTCCTTCATTAGACATTACGGGCGGACATCATACCACCAAGAAGGAAGCACTGGGAGCAGATCACATCCTTTGGATCCAAGGTTCCTGCGCAGAGAAGCTCCTAGACCAGGGGAAGATTGATGACAAGGACCTTCCCCCAGAGCTGACAGAAAGAGAGAGCCTTCTCCTGGAGCTGGCGCCCTGAATTCAGATTTCCAGCCTCCTAAATTGTGAGAGAATAAAATTCTGTTTGTTAAAGCATCCAGTTGTGGTATTTCAGTTATAGCAGTGCTAGATGATTAAGACAACTTGTATTATATTTCACATGAGTAAATCAGAGAAGACATAGTTGTTTTGATTAAACCCAGATATTAAACTGGTTTGTCAAAGTTTACAGAAATTATGTGAATTTGAATTTATAAAATCATTCTGATTTGGCTTTTGAGAGAATATATATTGTTCAAATGTAGCTCATTTAAATTACCATGGTTCCAAATTCTTTTTTTCAGGGAATTTTAGGAATATTTAATTTCTATAAGCAATTATTTACTTAGATGTACTAACAAGAACAGAGCTCTTTTAATATAAGAGACTTTAAAATAGAGTATATTAATACCCACCAGATGTAGGAAAATATTACACACACAATCAGAGGTCAACACGTTTCTGAATTAAAGACACATGGACATAGAGTCACAGAGCACTAGAGCTTCTAGCTTCAATTCCACCATTTGAGCCATCCATCGAGAGTAAACACACAGAGAAAAACTCTCCAGCTCAGATATCAAATAGTATCCCCCACCTCGTAAGGCATGAAATTCTTCACTGCTTTTAGCTCAAATATAGAGGAACCAACAAACAAGAAGATTGACAAACCCGATTCTCTACTGTCTCACACTCAACAGAGGCTCTATCTCTATAAACCACGCATCTATTTAGAGAGATCTCCAATGGCCATACCATAAAACCAACTTCCTAATCATGGCTGTCCACAATGGGGAATAACTTATCAGCTGTAAATGAACTCAAACAAAACAGAAGCACAACGTAAGTAGAGAAGATAATTACAGTAAAATGTGTAAATTAGAAACTACAACAAGAAAAACAGAGAGTCCACAAAGTTTTATTTATGCCTTGGATTCACCTAGGAGAGAAAAGACACTCCTGGACTTGAACCAAGCATGAGACACACTTCTCTGTCAACGCTGTTTACCTGGCTTTGGCAGGTAATTTATAAAAAGGGTCTCTTGGTGTGACTTCCTAAACGGTTAAAAAAATTTTTTTAAAAAGATATTTTTTAAGCAGGGTAAAATCACAACACTCATGCAAATGTGAAATAAACACGTGTTAAAACATTTCATGTAACTCATGAAGGAATGAGCAGATGTTATAACCGGTCCAAAAAAGAATCCAAAGATTAGATGCAGACAGCAGACATACTGATCAGGTGTAGACCTACTGAAATGAATATATCAATGGAGGCAAAACTGATTGATTATAGCATGAGAGGAGAAATGATTGAACTTTTACTGTGCATGCCGATCAGTGTCCTACAACTTATAAGGGGCTGTGAAAGAACTCAGAGACAATGCAAAGCTAGACTCAGGTAACCTGGAGTGGTGTCTTCTAGACAAGGCAAAGTTTCCACTGAAACCCACATTTCTTTATACAGTGTTAAAGAAAAGTAGAAAGAGTTCCTTCAAAAAGAGAATCCAGTCATTAGTGTGTCCAGGCTCCTACCCAGACATTTTTAGGTCCAGGCCTGATCAGGGCCATTGGACACCAATGACATCACAAAGTCCAGATGTCACAAAGGCAGCTTCCTGACCAATCAGGGGCCACACACAGGGATAAATTACGTGGGCATGAACACAGATATCTTTAGAGGCCCAGACCAGTGGGAAGATCAAGCTGAGCAGCTCAGAGCCAAACCCAGTAAACATCATGACTGGGCGAAGATGCTGTCGTGGTTCCTATAAGCGTAGAAGACCATCTCTCTCTCGATCCACAAGAGCAGAGCTACAGTTTCCCGTGAGCCGGGTGGACCGCCTCCTTCGGGAAAGACACTACGTCCAGCGCCTGAGTTCATCCACACCCGTTTTTCTCGCTGGTGTTCTCGAGTACCTGACAGCCAACATCCTGGAGCTGGCAGGTGACGAAGCCCACCACGACCACAGGATACGCATTACCCCAGAACATGTGCAGAGGGCCGTGGACAGCAACCCGCAGCTCAGCCACCTCTTGGATGATGTGACCATGCCACAGGTTGATGATAAGCCCCGATCAACAAAGAACTGCTGATGCCCAGGTTCCAGGGCCTGGCGGGAGCCCTCACGGCCTCATGTAGCCCCCAAACTGCTCACAGCTGAAGGTGTCCCATGCTGCTGCATCAGCAGATGCTATTAAAGGGTACATCCATGAAAAAAAAAGAAATTGTGTCTTCTATACCTGAATTAAGAAGCCCTGGTGGGCACAAAGGTTAAGCACTCGGCTCCTAATCTAAAGGTCAGCAGTTCGAACCCAACCAGGGGCGCCTTGGGAGAAAAGACCTGGCCGTCTGCTTCCACAAAGATGACAGCCTTGGAGACCCTATGGGGCAGTTCTACTCTGTCACATGAGGTTGCTATGAATGGGTATCGACTCCACAGCATGCAGCAAGGACAAGACAACATCTGTGAATTGACGTTAGTTCTTTGATTTCGAGGGTATGTCATACAAAAAAACGGTTGTTGTAAATAATTTGATTCTGCCTTAAATTGGCCATCAACATTCTTTCTTCCCATTTCTCTGGTGCCGTGTATCTTTTTGGTGTCAAAATATAGTCTATCCTCACTCTTGAATAGTCTATCTTCTGATTATAACTCACTTTTAGCTGAATGAGTCTCCATTAACCTGACTAAATAAATAAGTTCCTGGCAGATCAACTAGGATATTATGCAGATAATCTGACCCAATTGTTAGTCATGATCTGCAAGACATCAATTGGAAATTTAAAACAAGCGTGTGGCTATAATTAAATTTTGAAAGTTTTTACTAATTGTTACATTTTACTTTGATTATATATTAAATCGATTGTGTTCCATCAAGTTAACGATGAGTGAATCCTCATGCTTGCTTTTCTAAACTCTTATCCTGGAAAGAAGTTTAAAACACACTTTACCAAAAATGGATTCTGGAACAACCACACAAGAACTTTGATAAGTTTTAGAAAAATAATTAGGAGCAAAACCTTGTCTGAACCAAAATGGCAGATTGAAAAGTGATGACAACTTGAAATCACCTTCATATGATTTATGTATAGTTTATGACTCCTAAAACCCACCCACTGCCAACCAGTCGATTCCGACTCACAGCGACCCTAGAGGACAGAGTAGAACAGCCCCATAGGGTTTCCAAGGCTGTAATCTTTAAGGGAGCAGACTGCCACAACTTTCTCCCGCGAGCAGTTGGTGAGTTCGAACCACAGAACTTTGGGTTAGAGGCTGAACATTTTAACCACTGCGCCACTCGGGCTCCCTTTATTAATTGTAGCAGCCATTTTCCCCATAAAACATCTTGGAGAAATAAGCTTAATTTTAAAATGGCATTGATAATTTTATTAACTTTTGTTTCTCTTTGCTCTTACCATGTTGTTTCTAAGCTGTTGGTCCATTTTCTGCCCTGCCTTAGGTTTTTTTTTTTTTTTTTTTAAATCATTTTTTATTGTTACTGTTAGGTGCTGTCGAGTCAGTTCTGACTCATAGCTACCCCATGTACAACAGAACGAAATACTGCCTGGTCCCGCACCATGCTCACAATCATTGTTATGACTGAGCCAATGGTTGCAGCCACTGTGTCAGTCCATCTCATTGACGGTCTTCCTCTTTTTCGCTGACCCTCTATTTTACCAAGCATGATGTCCTTTTCCAGGGACTGATTCCTCCTGATAACATGTCCGAAGTATGTGAGACAGAGTCTCAGCATCTTTGCTTCCAAGGAGCCTTCTGGCTATACTTCTTCCAAGACAGATTTGTTCATTCTTTTGGCAGTCCATGGTATATTCAACATTCTTCACTAACGCCACAGGTAATCACAACACAGTGCCATTAGTAAGATACACAACAGCCTAAAATAGAAATGAAAACCTTTTTGGTTTATTCTAGATGGAAGGAGTACCTCCACGTGGAGACAGGTGCTGTAACTCAGCTGTAGCTCAGTCCCCTGAGCTGTGGAGACCTGCATAGTAGGGACGCGTTACAATCTCAGGGCACTGTAAGTCTTAGAAAACACTCTCTTCCATTTCTTTATGCTGATGCTGGTGTGCTGACTTAGACAAGGAGGTCTTCCAAGCCAGTACTATTTTATGTTCCATTTCTTCTCTTTATTCATGAGGTGTCTTACGGGGTTTTATTGCTGAGACAGAAACTGATAAACAGAGTTTGGAGTGAAAGTGAAGACAAGATAGCTCTTTGAAATCCTCTTTGCATTTCTTATTAAACTTCACTCTGCTGTGAGAACAACAACAACAAAATGGAGCTTGGTGAACTTTCAAAACACGTCTTATTCGGGGGGCACATGGCTAGGGCCAGGGACGAAACAGAAAGGAAATGAGGAAGCACCAAGGAAGATGGGGAGCCCTGGTGTTGCAGAGGTTAAGAGCTCAACTGCTAACCCAAAGGTCGGCAGTTCGAATCCACCAGCTGCTCCTTGGAAACCCTATGGGGCAGTTCTACTCTGTCCTATAGGGTTGCTGTGAGTCAGAATCAACTCTACTGCAAAGGGATTTGTTTTGTTTTTTGTTTGTTTTGTTTTGTTTAAGGAAGATAGAAATATGAAAGCCACAAAGTCACAATTTTTAGAAAGCATCAATTCAATTTTGAAACCAACAAAACAGAAAACAAACAGCATCATGAAGTAATATGACATCTTATGTATAAAACGACACATTTCAAGAGTTCATCAAGGTAATGGATTAGTTATAACAGGAAGAAATATACCTACAAAACATAAAAATAAAAACAAATGTTGAGTTTGGTCTTTTTGCTAGAAAGAGCTACTTAAGTTTAATAGAGCATTCGTGTTTTGTTAGCTGTTGTATGTATTTTATAAAAATGGGAAATGATTATCCCATATCGTATTATCAATTAATTTCTTATAAAGAACTCTGGTTATAAAGGCTTGCACCTTATTCTTCAGACCTTATAAACCTAATCCAAAGGAATTTCCAGATAAAAAGGTAGAGATATATATAAGCATATAGATAGGCTGGTGCAATTGTATATATATGTATATGGATATGTGTATATATGTGTGTCTGTTGTTGTTGTATGCTCTCTAGTCAATTCCAGCTCATGTTGTTGTTGTTAGGTGCTATCGAGTTGATTCCCACTCATAGTGACCTTACGTACAACAGAACAAAACACTGGCCAGTCCTGCGCCATCCTCACAATCGTTGTTATGCTTGAGCCTGTTGTTGCAGCCACCATGTCAATCCATCTCATTGAGGGTCTTCCTTTCTTTCAATGACTCTACTTTACTAAGCATGATGTCCTTCTCCAGGGACTGGTCCCTCCTGATAACATGTCCGAAGTAAGTGACACAAAGTCTCATCATTCTTTCTTCTAAGGAGCATTTTGGCTGTACTTCTTCCAAGACAGATTTGATAGTTTTTCTGGCATTCCATAATTCAAATAATTCAAACTCTTAGTGACCTCATATGACAGAGTAGAACTGCTCCATAGTGTTTTCTAAGCTATAATCTTTATGGGAGCAGATTGAAAGGTCTTTCTCCCATGGACTGGCTGGTGGGTTCGAACACCAACCTTTTAGTTAGCAGCCAAACACTTAACCACTGAGCCACCAGGACTGCTTGGGTATGTATACATATATATATATATCACACGCACATCTAATTGGAAACCGATTACTTTGAAAAGCAACGCTCAAGAGGTTCGAATTTTTTTATGTTGCTGTTAGTTGCCGTCAAGTTGACTCTTCTTTATAGTGACCCCATGTGACAGAATGGAACTGCCCCAATGGGTTTCCTAGACTGTAATGTTTAGGGGAGCAAACCTCCAGCTCTTTCTCCCGAGAATAGCTTTCTTAATAAGCAGTGGTTACAACTACATGTGGGAACCCCATGTTTACATGGATATCAAGTTACTCTAACCACGGTTATTGAAGACAATTTCCTTTTCCTGTTGAATGACTTTGGCACTGTTGTCGAAAATCAATTTACTATCTAAATGAGGGTCAATTTCTGGAATCTTTATTTTAATCCGTTAGTAATTTGTCTTAATTATGCCAATAACAGGCTGTCTTGATTCCTGAATAAACTAAGTTCTTAAGTTGGTAGTCCCTCAGATATTTTCTTTTTTAAGATTGTGTGGTTTTTCTTGGTCCTTTGCATTTCTATATAGTGCATAGAGTTGACCTATCCATTTCTCTTTAACCTTTTCATGACTCAATTATTTCTTCCTCTTAATTTTTTATTGATACCACGTTTTCAGTAATGGAGGGCAAGCTGAATCATTGAGTGTGTCAGAATTTTTGGTAGATGATATGGTTTTTGTTCTATGCCTCATTCCACAAATCATATCCTCGGAGTTCAGAGGTACATATATGTACCCTTTGTGGACACAAATTCTATACCCAGAATCCAGAGGTACATATGTGTACCAAACAAAAAATTTTCAAAATTTGTGTTTTCACTACCAAAAATTAGATGATTCAGAACCACCTCATATAATACCGTGTAAAAACAGTAATTTGGGGCACAGGCCTGTTGCTTCCATTTCAAACTATTACATAGGGTCCCGCCTCCCAGCCACACACACTGTCCATGGGACAGCAGCTTCTCAATGAACTACAGAGATACCAAAAGTAAGTGGTAGCTATATATGCCATCTGTCCTGAAAGGATTTTAAAACATCTGCTGGCATTAGGACTGAAATTGTATTAAATACATTAATCAATTTCAGAAAGCTTTGAATTTAACAATATTGAGTCTTCCAACCCACCAACAAGGTATCTACCCCTGCGTTTCTCACTCTTCCTATTTTTATATAGCCATTCTAAGTAGATTTCAGCCTCGATGTGTTGGATGATTTTCTTAATTTAGTCCTGAACATTTTGCTTTTATGCCAAAATGAATGATTATTTCTAAATTTTAATTACGTATGGTAGCTGCTAGAACATAGAACAAATGATTTCTTTATATCAGGCTTGTACCTGCAGCCTTGTATGTTCACTTACCAATTCTCTTATCGATTTTGTATATTCTATAGGATTTTCTCATTAAAAAATAATATTTTCTGTGAACA